GTCCGGATTATTGTCATGTTGATGCAGCAACCACTCACAAAACCGCACTCTTGCTGGAAAATCGTCAGGTTGAAGGGCTTGTACACGTTGGACGTGAAACGGATACAGCCCCTCTTCACGCAGCGTTTGCCACACTTTAGTTTTTGATTCTTGCACTTCTCTAGCCACGTCTCTAGTGCTTGTTGAGGGATTCTCGTCTACGCGATTACCTCTACACGCGTGACCGTAACCGTCGGTTGAAGGTTGCACCTGACACACTGACCCCGACCCAGTTCTGTCGTCGGGTTGAGCCAGTGACCTTGTACCACTCGGTGATGTCGCGGGTCGCGGCTACAGGACGGTATTCAGATATTTTTGATGGTGCAGAGCCCTTTATCTCGGTTCCTTTAAGACATTGGTGTATATGGTACTAAGAAAAATTGCTTATGTTAATACTCAAATAAATGTAACAAACTAAATAAAATATTAAAGTGTACATTTAGACTCACATTTAAAATGGAATATACAGGGTGACTTCGAAGTTGAGTCATTTATTTTAACAGTGAGTAGATCTGATCAAAAGAAATGTTTTTTTTCCTTTACCATTTTTCTGGTAAAATTGAAGTAACAAAGTTATAGCCCTAAACAAAATCGACGGGTCTGAGCGTTTTTCAAAAAAAAAAACTGAGCTGATAGTAAATGCGTCTGTTTCATTTTTGATGCGCCACCCTGTATACGTATGTGTATATTTATGTAAAATTGTAAGTTAATACCCACGCACAAGAATTTAATCTTTTGTGGGTAAATTTAGTTTATTTACGTACACCTATGTTAGTTTTAGCTATATTTGTATATTACGTGAATAAAATTATTATTATTATACATATTTGAACACGAAAAATGTCAGACAAAATCAGGAACCCTCTAAGAACAGTCAAGCCTTCATAAAATGTAATATTATCACTTCTTTAGGATAGTCCAAAGATCAAAAAGATTCATAGAAAGATTTTTAAGGCAAAAATTGAAAATCTGGCATAGCCCCAAACTTTGCTAAAATAGCATGACTTCCTTAGCCCACCCTGTATAAGTAGATAAACTAAAGAAATATACCCGTACGGGTATCATCTCAAAGAGTTGGTCAAGAACCTCCCGAATACCGGCGCATTCATGCTCACATTTGGAATACTTTCTATCGTCCTACCATTATGTGCCGCGTTAGCTCTATTTGCACGTACTTTGCTTTTTGAAGTCCGATACCTGCGGGTGATTCATGTCCCATGTTACCCATAAAATAGCGGCAAAAAAACAGAATATACTGCAAAACATAAATCGCTTGTTATCGCACCGAAAATTATTCACCTGGAAAAACAGTCAATGATATCTGGGGAGAACCCTTCGCGCTATAAATCAGATAATTGGGCCATTCTTCAAAAATGTAATCGGTACATTAAGCTCAGGCAACACGAACTTTCCCGATGCTTTCCCGGCTAATTTCCTGCGCAGGCTTTAATCCGTATCGGCCGGTAACTTCGTGCAAACTTTTGGCTGGGCTTTTGTTTATTTCCCAGCTTTCCAGAAACACTGCTAAAGTGAGGCGTGATGTTTTTTATCTGCTGCTAACTTTCTGTGGCTGCCACTCTACGAAATGATTCACAGAGGACTGACAAACTGCAAAGACATAGTACAGCGTAAAACATACTCGAGCCTCCTTCACTAGTATCTACTGTTGACCCTATGTCGGTTGCTTATTACGTTGGAAAGAAATGACCTTAAGAAATGACCTTAAGAAACACGTTTTCGTAACGTATGTCTTAAAAGTTCTGGCACAAAGTATTAATCGGATTTTTTTTAATGAAAAAGATTATCTAAGCACTAAGGGGCCGTTCAAGTATTACGTGAGCACTATGGGGCCTTTGCTTTGCTTATTTTGGATGACATGGGGGGTAGGGGAGCCTAGATGATGATAAACATCATCGGTAGTTATTTACTTTTTTACACGTATGGCAACCCTCACATTCTCTTTGCTTGAAAACGAAACGCATTTTCGGGGATTCCCGCAAATAATGCATACGTTTAGTGAACAGCGCGCGGTAATTCCCCTACTCGCTTTAGAACCGAGTAGGGGAATTACCGCGCGGTGTTTACTTGCCTAAATTTCCTCTATCAGTGTATTGTTTCGTTTGGATACTATAGCGAGTAGACGTATTGTAAGCATAGTAAAGTAAGTTAACATTTGTGTTACCATTGATTCCATTAGCACTGGAGATTCTACGAAATTAAATTCAGATAGTCATTATTAACATTAAGGTGAGATATCTCGGCTATTTTGCGAAATTTCGAATCACTTTCTATTTATCAGTAGAGCTAAAACTTGTGAAAGTATGCTCAAAGTTACAGCACTCCTAGTCGATGTTGAGTTTTCTATGCCATTTAGTATAGAAACCTGCATCAAGAGAATGCGTAAGAAGATAAAAACCATGCAATGAAAAAGATGCAAGTGAAAGAACAAATATAAAAATAAAATTACATAAAAGGGAACTAGAGCTCAATTTTATTTTTAAAAAATAAGAAGCTCTTGCTGAATTGCGCTGTTCGGTGCCGAGTCATGGTTATATTCTACACATTTCATGGTAAGCTTGTTCTTCAAACAAAAAAGCATTCTATTTATCAAAAGTGATGTTGTTGTCCCTTAGGTATAAGTATATACCGAGTTTCTACACGCTTTAGGCTTGTCGTCTCTGCAAAATCCCTCAAAAACTAGCTTGCGCCATATACGGTTGCAATAAATTTATATAAAACGTATAAAGTTTCAAAAATAGACTCGGAAATCCGGGAATAATGTGGCAAACTTTCCAGTTAATTTAAAGTTGGGATTTTGGAGTGCCCGTAGAGATTTTTAATTTCTTCGCTATTTTTATTCGAATGCAAATCCCAGTCGAGTTCTTTATTTATTCCTCAGCTTTGCTGGCGTTGAGACTTTTAATTAATAAATTCAAGCTAATTAAATCCGGAGAGCGCCGTTATTAAATTGATGTTTTGTAGTTTCGGTAGCTTAAAAACGAAGTTCGTTCATTGACCTACGTACCTATATATGATTGAGCAAAATTAAATTGCTCCTTTGTTTTGAAGTTGTGAACTACATATATAGGGTGTTTCAGTTTATTGTTGCATAACTTTAAGATTCGATAGAACTTTTAGTTTTTTTTAAATATTTCGAACAATATTTGATGTACAACAGTGAAAATTGGTACACAAGGGATTTTTTGTACGACAAAACGAACCATGGGCATAGTTTTACTGTAGGCGCTAGAGGGCGCTCTCTACTGTACCTGTAGTGTATTAAAATGGCCGAAAAAATTTTCTTGGTGCAATTTTTTGCTTTTTGTATAAAAGAACTGATTCTTCGCACTTTTCTGCATAAAAAAGCTCTCTTGTGAGTTTTCGTTACAGTTAGCCGTTTTTGAGATATTTCGATTTTTAAGGTTCGATGCATTTTTAATTATTTATGGGAAAATAATATTTTTTTTTGCATTTTCGATTTGGGCATTACAAGTAATTAAGATGATCGTTTAGATTGTGTTTTTAAACACAGCAATAATTCCTAACTCCAAATAAACACAAAAAAAACAGAATATTAATTTGTTTAATCTTCCAATATTATTTTTAACAAATTAAATTAATTATTTACAACTAAAATGCTATTGGATAGTTAGGACAAACATACAAAATCTAAAGTAGTTGCTCGAAATGTAAACGTTCAATACACAATTCACATCTACGAATGATCGAACGTGGTATAGCATTATTCAAATAAGGCCTTATTTCATCACATGCTTTCCTGATTCAGTCTATTAGCATATCTCTTGTGGTTACGGGAGTCTGGTACACTTTTTCTTTTAGAAATCCCCGCACAAAGAAATCTAATGGATTTAAGTCAGGGGATCGTGGAGGCCAGGCGTCTTCCTATCGTCGCGTTCCCGTGCACATTTGCTAGGGCAGTTCTGGAGCGCCACACTCCGGGTGCATACAACTCTCAATTTAAAAGCACTGAAACTATTATCACTGCTTGGGAACGCAACAATCTTGTACAGTTTGACGCTTCCAAAACACAGTTCTGTACCTCGACGAACAAAGAGCGCGGTAGCTTCTGTGTGAAAAACTAAATTTTCGGTAATTCTTCGGTAACGAGGTAAGCTAGCGACAATTTACCGGATTCAAAACAATCGATAATTGAACACCACTACAGGTTGAGGTTAATTTTATCAAACAACGATACACTAACGTGAGAACAGAGGTGACAGCGGGTGGTCCGGGTGCCGGTTAAAGCGTCAGAGCGACGAAGATGCCCAAACTATATTCATTCAATTAATTAACGTGGGCACTGACGCCGCGGCGGCGCTCTGACGCGGCGAAGCTGGTTCGCCGGCGAGTTGCTTGTGCTGCTTCTATGCGATAATTACCGTAATGTGCGACTAAAATCAAATTTGTTCTCGAATTCGCCAGACATTCGCATTCTATCTACTTGGTTAGCATCATCTAATAAAAAAATCCACCCAAAATTCATCAAATCTAACACGTTTCACTTTGTTAAAGGTAATCGCCCGAGAATCGCACCTATAGCTACGAATACTTTTGCATAAGTCACGTCTAATTAATATCATACGAGGGATATCTCAAAAATAGGTGCCCACATTTTTTTATTCTCTTTAGTTATAATTTTTTTTTTGTCGTGAAATCCAGTGTTGCACTCCTGTCTTGAAAAAAGCCCGCCGCCAGTTTATTTTTTAGATCCAAGGTAAGAGGAATGTTCAGCGCCTAACTCTACCAAATACGACGAATAGGATGTATACGAGGGATGTCTTTTAAGATTTGCATATAGAAACATAGTAGGCCGCGCGGATCGAACGTCAGTACTGAATCTTAACCTCACCCTTTAGTAAACTTAAATTCAAAGTTTCACAACAGTACGCGCAGTGCTCTCACTACAGTGAATTTCTAAGTGTCACCAAGTCATTAGAAAAATGGAACTCAAGCGAGAACATTTTCGCGCCATAATTGATTACAAGTTTCAGAGACAACTATCGCAACAAGAATTCCATGCTGAGTTACTGTCTGTTTTCGGCAACGAAGCGCCACATCAGTCGACAATTTCCCGTTGGTATGGAGAATTTAAACGTGGACGGGTGAGTCTTAGCGACGATCCCAGGGTGGGATCTCAAAGACCTCAATTCAAAACATTTTGCATAAAGAATTAGGAGTACGAAAATTAGTTTGTCGTTGGATACCCCACCTGTTGACTGAAGAGCAGAAAGCAGCCAGGGTTAACTGGTGTTAAAAAACGCTTGACGTTTCAATTCCGGAAACTCAAAAAATGTGTGCAGCATTGTTAGTGGTGATGAATCGTGGATTTACTGTTATGAACCAGAAAATAAACGACAGTCGGCTGTTTGGGTGTTCCAAGGTGAAGAAAATCCGTTCTCGAAGTGTTCCGAAAAAGATGGTCGCGACATTTGTGTCAAAAGCGGCTCATATTGCAACCATTCCTCTTAATGAGCAAAGAACTGTTACTGCGGATTGGTATACCACCATTTGTTTGCCAAGAGTTATCACCGAGCTTCTAAAAATCAACCCCGAAAGAAGAATCATCCTTCACCAAGACATTGCAAGCTCCCACACAGCCCAAAAAACAAGGCAGTATTTAACGGAAGAAAGCGTAGAATTATTGGACCATCCTCCATATAGTCCCGATCTAAGTCCTAACGATTTCTTTACTTTCCCGAAAATTAAAAGCAGACTGCGTGGTCAAAGGTTCCAGTCACCAGAAGAAGCAGTTGACGCATTCAAAAATACCGTTTTGGATCTGCCAGCAAACGAGTGGAATAAGTGCTTTGAAAATTGATTCGAGCGCATGCAGATGTGTATTAATCTTCGTGGAGAATACTTCGAAAAACAATAAAGTCATTTAAAACTGCCTACCGTGTTGTTTTATTTCCATATGCAAAACTTAAAGAACATCCCTCGTATCAATTTTCTACCACCTTTCACTAAGCTTTTTGGCATTATGCATGGTAACTTGGTACACATTTTTCTGGTTTTGTAGCGACCGATCGTTGGTTAAAACTATTTTCTAAAAAAAAAATTGGAAAAATTCATACAAAAAGCAAAAAATGGGTAATTACAATGTGACGAAAACGTGCACTTAGCTGTATAAGCATCGTTCTTCCATAAAACATAGTTAATATTTATCAATTGTAAGAGCATATATTATGATAAAAATACATAAACTGTACCTGTAATAGCATTGTAAAGGCAGCATTAACATTAGCGTGTCGCTGTAGGAAACGAGTATTTGCTTGATATTTTCCGTCCAACATCATTGTAAAGTCACTTACAATGTGTCGTTTGCGCGCATTGATAAACACTGTAAAGTGCAATACAATGTTTCAATATTAACAACTGGGTTGTGGTAGATGCGTAACGCACTTTAAAATATCCTGCGTAACCTGTAGTGTAATTGTATCGAAAATTAACAACATCTTACTGCTGTGCCGAGGCAGAATACCGTTACAATGATATTTAAAATACTTATTCTCATCTTTGATACAGGAAAATGTTTAAACTCTTATACTAGCCCAAATTGTTAAGTAAGCTCTATCTCAAACAGCTAAAAACTAAAAATCTACGAAACGTGAGTTCAAATGTTCTTAAATGCATGTATGGCATGGTCGATGGGATTTAAATCCAGTAAACTGGGTAGCCATGACAAAACAATGATGCCTGCTTCTTGAAGAAGGTCTACAGTACGACGAGCAATATGATGACGTGCGTTGTCGTGCTGAAAACGGACGTGTGGACGGCCGTCTACATACAGCAGCAAAGTAGCTTGTAGGACATCATCAACGTAACGCGCAGTAGTTATATTGCCTTGAACAAAGAGAAGGGGTGATCGGCTACCATAGGCGTTAGCTCCCCAAACCTGTGTACTTGCCTCTCAACAGCAAATCCAATATCCACGGCGACATCTCACCCATCTACGACCATCGTGCGTACCTAGATAGAATCAGGATTCGTCGCTGAAGTTGACATTATGCCATTCTACCTCACAAAGTTGCCGCTCTCTGCTCTATCTAGTTCAAACGTTGACGACAGTGGTCCGTAGTCAGAGGAGGCACTAAGCCTGGACATTATGAAAAAAGTCCAAGGGTTCGAATGCGGCGATAGCGTGTAGCAACAGGACTACCTTCTTTTTCTATGCACACACGACACACACGCATTACCGTCATCGCAGTACAATTAACACGGCGTGATTCTACCCCTGTCAAAGTCGCTAGCATGCTGATAATATGGACGTCCTCAATTTCGAGGCATTTTGTTATGCGTAACACTAGTAAATTAAAAGGTAATAACTAAAAATATCTGTGCTACTCAGCTCTCAGAAACTGCTTTCTTCACAAAAACAAAGAGCTAACATTTTAACAAAGGTGAATAAAAACAAAGATAAAACGTTGACATTGTCGTCACAGCATGGTTTAAATATAGTCATTATGTTTCCAAACATAACAAGTTGAAGAAATTATTTTTTACTGGGTGTAACACTTATAATCTCACTGAGTATATTTTAAGTTTGTAGTAAAAGTTGAATCAAACCTTTGTATTAGTTTATTTCATTCAGCAACTTAACCAAAAATAACATTTTTATCTTCAAAGTTTGTTTTATTTCAGTTTAATCCCTGGAAAAATCAAAAAACTTTACATAAACCACTCAAGTCCTTTGATCTTTCCCTCATACACCATTTATTTTATTTATTTACAGACGGATATATCTAAAAAATAATGTATCAGAATTTTCTGTAGTTGACAAAAAATACGAAAAATTTCAGTAACTAAAAAATTCACATCAAAAATGTTTTTTACCTCTTTCACATTTTTCCTCAAATGACTTGACTGGTTCATGCATTGGACCCCTCAAATGACGTTAACACTTATTACTAACTCGGTCTACAACGTGTCGTTATCGTATAGCTTGAAACAAGGCAGATATGATAAGCGCTATAATTTGGAATTAGCGCGTTAAAAGTAATGCGGCTGCAACAGATAATAGCGGCACGGCACCGTGATGCGATCGTACAATGCACGGATTACGATGCGCGCACAGCCCTCTCGAATCATCCAATATCTCTATTAGTTTACAAAATGGATGCCAGACGGGATTACTATCTGGATTAGTAGTACAGGAGACGAGGGATTTGCTTTCTAGCAGAATGTCATGTCGTGCTGGAACTTTCACCTGCCGTAAACGTACATTGGAAATGGGAAATATGATATTCTTAGGCCTAGTTTCACCAACAACAGTCCGTTATTCTCCACCTATAGGGTAACAGACCTCAGATACAGCGAATGAGCTTCCAAGTTCCAATCAACAAATTTTAGCAACCAATATTGAAAACAGAATACTGTCAAAGTATGAGATGACAACTTGTCATTTAAGCATTACCAGCTAATTGAATATTATGTTTGATTTTTGAATTAAATTCATGTTTTAATTACTATTGTTGATTTTTTATTCATGTTTATATTATTTTCTTCAATTGATATGTGATACTGGGTGTTTTTTCCTATAAACCTCTTGCAGATAGCCATTAAGCACCTACTTGATGACAGGCTCTACCAAAAGATATTGCTCGTTTCCAAACATTCATTCATTTCCTTGCCGTTCATCAGAACCATTATGGCACCTTAGATTGATATTCCCACAAAACCATTCAGGTTTTTTGATATCCATACATCCATAAAGTTGAATATTTTTCGTTGTTCAGGAGCTGAACAAACATCCACACTATATTCACAGCGATTAAGAAATTCCCAAATATATGCCTTAAAGCTACCAGCAAACCTAAAACCTGCAAAAAAAAAGTACAAATTGGCCATATTTTTCTTTTTTTACGAGTACGCATTCTAGGTTATATTTATATTTGAATACAGCTGATTATTGCATTTCAAGGAGTGACACATGTGTGGGATGTGTCAACTCTTGGTACCAGTCACAAAACATCTACTCTGAAGGTTTAATTCCATGCTATTCAATGACAATACGGTGTTTTGCGTTTGTCAGCGGCCATTTTGTGAGGGTGCGACAGGGTTGCCAGATCGTGCATTAATATCTCGTTTCACCCTCCTGGTCCTAGGGCGGTTGCTTTGGAACGTCGGGTTCTTCGATTATAGATAATGCCGAGAAATCACTTGATAGAGTATGTATGATCCACTACCAAAAAAAGGTGGCAAACTTATCACTTGAAGCGCCATAACTGTACCATATTTTTCAATGTATAGTGTATTTCACAGTGTACACACAAACGAAGCCGTTTCCAGAGTTGGTGTTTAGCCCAAAAAACTGCCAATCATCCGGAAATACATAGAGCGTCGTTCGAACGTAGGAGCATTTTATACTGTTGCAGCAAATTTAATTGGACTCCTAGTGCAACGAGTCTTCTGCCAATTCCAATTCAAACGGAAAGTTTTTATTTCTCTAATGGGCGCTTCGTTAAGCTCAAGTATAGAGATGCGAGAAAAAGGTTACGCTGTGTTGCATCTGAGAGAGACAGCATTTCTACCTGTGTGCTGTGGTTTTATATTGGATCTGAAAGAACTGCTGTATGTCAAAGGATCTGCATCATTAACTTTTTTCATACGAAAAACTGTTGATTTATAAGAATGCCTAAAGGATCGGCAAGGAGACAAAGATTTACATATGTACGAGTATAATTGCAGCAAAAATAAAAATATAAAAAGACCTAATTATAAATGTTCTTGGCAGATATCTAATATCCATCTGGTAATAAGGAACATGTTCCGTGGTTATCACAAACCAGGTGGAATTTGATATGTCAAGCAAATGAGAAGAGATTGTTGAACATACCTTATCGCTGCGTTGTCCGAAACGCTTCCAGTGTCGTTACTTGTCGTAGGATCTTAGTCATCACAAGGTAAGTACAGGTTATCTCACAAGCAACGGAGTTCAGTATTAAGTCGTTATCTCAAATGCCTTCGTCCGTCCTTGGTGTTTAACTAACTATCACAAGACAGGTCCGCGTTTCTATCCCAAGCAACCGAGTCCAATGTTTCAACGTTATCCCAAATGTCTTAGTTCACCCTTGGTGTGGAGGTGACTATCACAAGCCAGGTCCAGGTTGCTATCCCAAGCAACCGAGTTCAATGTTTCGACGTTATCCCAAACGTCTTCGTTCACCCTTGGTGTGGAGGTGACTATCACAAGCCAGGTCCAGGTTGCTATCCCAAGCAACCGAGTCCAATGTTTCAACGTTATCCTAAACGTCTTCGTTCACCCTTGGTGTGGAGGTGACTATCGCAAGCCAGGTCCAGGTTGCTATCCCAAGCAACCGAGTCCAATGTTTCAACGTTATCCCAAACGTCTTCGTTCACCCTTGGTGTGGAGGTGACTATCGCAAGCCAGGTCCAGGTTGCTATCCCAAGCAACCGAGTCCAATGTTTCAACGTTATCCCAAACGTCTTCTTTCACCCTTGGTGTGGAGGTGACTATCGCAAGCCAGGTCCAGGTTGCTATCCCAAGCAACCGAGTTCAATGCTTCGACGTTATCCCAAATGTATTCGTTTGTCCTCGATGTGGATCTGACTATCACGAGCCAGGTCCCAGGTAACTGAGTCCAAAGTTTCAACGTTATCTTAAACGTCTTGGTTCGTCCTTGGTATCGAGATGGCTATCACAACCTAGGTTCAGGTTACCATCCCAAGTAACATAGCCCAGTACCGATGCGTCCACCGCCATTTTCTTTTTGTTTTCCGCTGTGATTTTCGTTGTGTGTGGGCGTTTTCCCGTTAATTTCCAGATTTTGGGATACTAACGCTCCAAACTCCAGTTTA